CTCCCCTAGGCTGGAGTTTGCTGCTGAGGCTGATGAGGTCGTGACTGGGAGTCACCATGTGGCCCCTTCTTAGCTGGTTGTTCCATAGCAAGTTCTTACAGTCTGCAGAAGGAGCAAGCCTGGAGGAAACCCTTTTGGGCTCCTGGGGGTTGACCCCCCCCGCCCCCCTCAGGACAGTACCTGGAGGAAGCCTGTAGCCTGCTCTCTGAGTGATGGGCATTTCATAAGTCTTGTGAATGTGGAATGCAGAGGACAGAGTTCTGTTGTCTTGTTTGGAAGAGGCCTTTCAGAAAACCTTCATCTGTCAAACACGGGGGCGGGGGGCGGGGGCGGGGGGGGCGTTGCCATGGTGAAAAGCCTGGGGTGGGAGGGCCCGGGCCTTTTCTTCTGTGCATGGCTGGATCCCCCCACAAGGCTTTCATGTCAGAGAAAGTGGTGATTCTGGTGGTGAGGGAGATGCCCCAGAGGCCTGGGGGAGGTAGGCCACGTGGAGCTGGGTTCCCAGCCACGCCTCTGCTTCAAATTCAATGACAGAGCACGTGATTTCCCGGGACACAGTGGCCTGCAGCTCTGTCTTCTCGTTCCTCAGCTATTTGAAAGCAGGGGGTGGGGGCTGGTCTCCTGTAATCCCAGCACTTTGGGAGGCCAACCTGGGCAGATCACAAGGTCAGGATCAACCTGACCTGTCCAACATAGTGAAATCCCATCTCTACTAAAAACAGAAAAAATTAGCTGGGCGTGGGGGCGCAGACCTGTAGTCCCAGCTACTCAGGAGGCTGAGGCAGGAGAATCGCTTGAACTGGGACCTGGGAGGAGGAGGTTGCAGTGATCACGCCTTTGCACTCCAGCCTGGACTACAGAGCAAGACTGTGTCTCAAAAAAAAAAAGGCAGGGCCTGTCCATCTAGTAGATTAGAAAAGGAGATGGAACTTGTTTCCCTTACTTAAAAGCAGGGAAGAAAGCCTTGTGAGGAGAGGACACAAAACCTGTTCGGTGACTTGTCATTTCAATGAAAACACAAACCAGTTCAGGTGGGCATTCCCGATTCCTCCCCTTCCTCCTACCCCCAGCAGCCCTGGCGGGACCGCAGGAAAACAAGGCAGCGCTCACTCCGAGCTCACCATTCTTTGGTGACAGAAGTTTAAGAACCCAAGGAAAACAAGTCTGTTAATCTCGCCGCGTGAGGCGGTGAATACACGCAGAGCAGTGCCTTCGTCAGGCCAGTCATCATTGGGAAGACAGCTCGGGAGTTAGGATAAGGGAAACTGTCACGTTTCATCTTTCTCTTCATTCCTCTTTACGAAGCATTAAATAAGTGATTTCTTAGATCACCGATCATTACCACCAAATCCTCTGACAGGTCAGAATCCTCACAGCAAGACGTGTGGAAATTTAAAGAGAATGCATTTCTTTTTTCTTTTTGAGACAGGGTCTCAGGCTGTTGCCCAGGTTGGAGTGCAGCGGCAAGATCTAGGCTCACTGCAACCTTGACCTCCCAGACTCAAGCGATACTGCCACCCTGCCTCCCGAGTAGCTGGGACTACAGGTGCATGCCACCAAGCCGGACTAGTTATTTTTATTTTGATTTTTGTAGAGATAGGGACTTATTACATTGCTCAGGCAGGCCTCAAACTCCTGGGCTCAAGCAATCTCCCCACCTTGGCCTCCCAAAGTTCTGGCATTACAGGCATGAGTCACATGCCTGGTCAAGAGAACATATTTCCAATTTTTTGTTTTTTAATAAAACAGTCAATCCTAAGGTTTCTGTAAGGCAGTGCTCATCACCTCTGCCCAGCTTTTCACAATAGCTGGTTTCAAATGGCATCCTGCAGTGGAATGCTGCTCTAGGAATTTTGAGTGAGGAATCCTAGAGTCAGAAGTCAGCTTGTGCAGCCCAGGAGGGGCTGAAGAACAGGCAGGCAGCACAGGCTGTGAACCCTGGGCCTGGGGCCGCCCTCACAGGCCTCTGAGTTCCATCAAAATGCGTGGAGCCGAGGGCTCTATCATTAAACACCATGGAAAAGTCATCCTCCAAATTTCTGAAGACAGCATCCCGGGATCCGTGTCTCTGTCTTTCCTGCCCCTTCTCTCCTCAACCAGCCTTATAGGAGAATGCAGGCAGGGAGAAGCAATGATCAACATTTCTGCCAGTTTGGTGAAGTTGGGTATGCATATGAGGAACAAAGTGTCAGAAAGGGGAGGAGAGGAGAGGATTCTGCAGATGCCACGATCCTCTGTTTGGGGTTGTCATCTGCTGATGGGACTCTGGTTTGGCCATTTGCACACAGCTTTTGAAAAGCCAAGGACATGCCTGGGGCGATGGCTCACACCTGTACTCCTAGCACTTTGGGAAGCCGAGGCTGGTGGATCATCCGAGGTTAGGAGTTTGAGACCAGCCTGGCCAACATGGTGAAACCCCGTCTCTACTAAAAATACAAAAATTAGCTGGACATGGTGGCAGGTGCCTGTAATCCAAGCTACTAAGGAGGCTGAGGCAGGAGAATCACTTGAATCCAGGTGGTGGAGGTTGCAGGGAGCCAAGATTGTGCCACCGCACTCCAGACTGGGCAAAGGTTATTCTCTCTCTCAGTTCTTGGGAAAAGAGAGATAAGACCGTCTCAAAAAGAAAAGGATAATTTTCTTTTTTTGATTTAAGCATTAAGATAAAGAGTTTGTAAAAGTGGAGGATGATTTACAAGCATCACTTGGGGAGAACACTGGGGCACTTAGGACTCATCTTTCCATTACAATTTTGCTTTGAGGTGTGTATGGTCCTTCTAATTACAGTGAACCAGATGACCTTTAAGAAATCACATCATAATTATGGCAAGAAAACGAATGCCCCTCCACAAACTGGGTTTGCTAACATATGTTCACATACAGGTTAGATTAGCAGCAGCTAGAATTTCAACTTCATACACAACGTATGGCTTTAATTAGTAGGGTTTTAGACATAAGAAGTGACCATCAGTATAACTATGAATAAACAGAAGAAATGAATAAATAGAATATAGCATGCAATGCAAAAACAAGCTTAAGATAAAACTCTTAAATTTATTTTCCAAAAATGTGATTATGGCACCAAATGAATTGGTAAGCAGTCCAGTTACCCTGCTCACATTGAAATCACAGGGCCAGAGCAAAGGATGCAGTCCTCATTCAGAAAGAGTATTTAAACTACTGGTCGTATCTACACCTTCTCTTATTGAACACTGTATGGCATCTTGCCTTGTAAAAAGGAAACCCAGCCCTTACAAATCCTTTAAACCCATCCAACATTAACAGGAGGAAAACTTACAGTAACTACTTTTGAAAGTTGTAAAACTAAAGCACCTATTTAAATTAAGATCATCAAGAATCTATGAGGTTATGAGAATAAGAGCTGGATGAGACTAAATATTGCATTTCCAAGGAAAAAGGTATAATCATGCACTTTACATAACTTAAAAGGCAGACGGAATACTATGAAAAATGCCCTTCACAGTACATTTAAGTCTGAATTTAAGTAATACTCAGCGAGAAAGAAACAGGCTCTGTTACAGCCCTGGCAGAAACATAAAAACACAAGGGCGTGACTGCTCAGGGCAGCCCTTCCTGTCTATTTTTAGAGGTCTAAGACTCCAGCCTTAAATAGTTTTGATAATAACACTGTGGCATAACTCAGCGCCTAAGACATGGTCTGGGAGGAAACTGGATTTTTCGTGCTCTGTAAACTCGTTCGCTGTTTTTTCCCTACTGAGATCTTGCTTGTGGAACATGACAGTTGGGGGGGGGAGGGGGCGGGATCTTTAACAATCTTTTGCTTCATTCTGTTGACTGGCTACCTTGGAACACGAAAAACTAAAATTGATAAAGGAGATTAGTTTTTTTGTTTGTGTTTGTTTTTGAGACGGAGTTTTGCTTATTGCCCAGGCTGGAGTGCAATGGCACCATCTCAGCTCACCGAAACCTCTGCCTCCCAGGTTTAAGCAATTCTCCTGCCTCATCCTCCTGAGTAACTGGGATTACAGGCATGCACCCCCACTCCTAATTTTGTATTTTCTTTTAGTAGAGACAGGGTTTCACCTTGTTGTTCAGGCTGGACTTGAACTCCCGACCTCAGGTGATCTGCCCGCCTTGGCCTCCTAAAGTGCTGGGATTATAGGCATGAACCACTGTACCCTGCCCGTTTTTGTTTTTTGGGACAGAGTATTGCTCTGCCACCCAGGCTGGAGCACAGTGGTGTGATCTTGGCTCACTGCAATTTCCACCTCCTAGGTTCAAGCAATTCCCTGCCTCAGCCTCCCCAGTAGATTACAGGCACCTGCCACCATGCTCAGCTAATTTTTGCATTTTTAGTAGAGATGGGATTTCAGCATCTTGGCTGGGCTGGTCTTGAACTCCTGACCTCATGATCTGCCTGCTTGGCCTCCCAAAGTGCTGGGATTACAGGCATGATCCCAGCAAGACTGTTGAGTGAACAATCTTGCTTACTTGGAAGCGGGGAATATTACTTTAATTGGGAACAGAGGAACATTTTGTTGAGGAAAAAGCACTTTGGGTTCACCAAAATATCATGGAGATGTGTCCTTAATGGACTTCCCTACTAGGAAGTTAACAATTTCTTCTATTATTACCCATCAGGATGCTGAGGTGGCTCTGTGTGCTCAAGGATAGGAAGTGCTGGCATCCTGCAGTGACTTAGGAGGGTGTCGAGAAGTTTCTGTTTATGTAGTAATGACGAATGTGGACACACAGGGTGCCTGTGCGTGTATATGTTGACACATGAGTATCTAAAATCATATACACAGGCTCAGGCACATGTCCAAGACCTAGGAGTCCGACTAGGCTTGCTTTCTCAAAATCACCACCTGTTTCACTCCCAAAACTCAAAATTATCGTATACCATACTCCAAAGGTTTCAGTAAAAAACAAAACTGGGCAAGCTAAATTACATCGAGAAACAAAAGCAAAGTGCCATGATGCCTACAGAAAAGCAAATATATTAAGACATTACAAAGTGGAGCAAGCGTTTCTCTTTTATTTTCTTAGAAAAGGCGGGGGGATCCTGAGAGTAAGGGATCTACACTGGCTTTCCTGTCATGTACTTGGAGAAAAAGGCAGACGGGACTCAAGGACAATGACACCAGTCCTGCTCCTCCCCGACCCCCCAAAAGGTGGCATTTACACGTCACGGAAACCCATGGGTTTAACAGGTTCTTCTCTCAGTTCTTGGGAAAAGGGAGACAAGACGCCGGCCGGATTCCTTTAGAGAAGAGTCCTCTGTTTGGGTGGCTGGAGCTGGTGGTGCGGGCTCAGCCTGGCCCCTCTCCACTTGGATGCGCTGCAGAGGGCAGGGGCTCTGGCTCTCATGTCCGTTTTAGGCCCAACAGCTCCTCGATGCGATGCAGCTCCTCTTTCACCCTCTCTTGGGGGTGGGGAGACACAGGGTGGATCCAGGCCCCCGCCGCCCTCACGAGGTCTCCCTGAGCAGCCCCAGCTTCCGCAGGGCCTCCCTGCGTGCCTCCTCCGAGGAGCCACGGCCCGCGAACTGCACGGTGACGCCCTGGGGCCGGGGCAGGGAGTCTGCGCGGCGCCATGCGTCCTGGCCGCCATCGGGCTGCCGGGGCCGGGGGATACTCTGGTGGCCCCGCGTGCTGGGAAGGGCCGGGCCAGGGCGGAAGCAGAGGGACTTCCCGGTGGGCGCGAAGGTACTGGGCGTACTCTTCAGGGCCTCGTGCGCGCTCAGGAAGCCGTTGGCCAGCGCTGGGCCCCGGGAAGCCTGGCTCCCTGCACGGAGACCCTCAGCAGGGCCTGTCCCGTCCTGGCCACGCGCCACCCGCTCTGGAAAGGAGCCGCGCCCCAGGGCCCCCTCGCCCGCGTCCCCCACGGCAGGGAAGGCACCGGCGTGGCCGTGGATGGTGGCCAGCACCTGCGCCCTGCGCTCCTGCACGCTGACGGCCGCCTTGGACAGGGTCCTGCGGGGCTCCCGGGCCGCACCGTTGGTGACGATGATGTTGCTGGGGAAGCGGGGGGCCCTGGGCTGTGCCGGGCGGCTGGGCCTTGGGTCGGGGTCTCCAATGTGGCGCCCCCAGGCAGCTGGCGTCCTCCACTCCCCTGGCCTGCCCTCCCTGGACGGGGAGGTGGGCGAGAGGGCTTCACTCTCCGCCAACCTCTCAGAAATCTTCTGTGCGATAACCAGGGGCGTGGGAACGGAGCGCAGGAGTCGGGGGTGTTCCGCCGGCGGGGAGGGGGCACGCAGCTCCCTCCTGGGGGGCTCGGGGGTGCCGGGCACCGGCAGCGGCACAGGAACGGTCTCGGGAGCCGGAGGGATGGTCTCGGTAGCGGGGGGGTCCGGAGGTGCAGGAGTCTCAGCATCTTGTTTCCTGTGCTCCTTCCCGGAAGGTGCAGGCCCTGGAAGAGAGGGAAGAAAGCCTGTGAGCTACTAGCCCAGGTTAAGTAAAGGCATGAAATTCCCTCTCACTGAACTGAAACGAGCCTCAACCAGACCTGACAGCAACTTCCCCGGTGCCGCCTGTGAGTGAACTCCCTCTCTCCGGGTTCCCTGGACTAGGGAAACAGAAGGTGGTATGTTATGCTCATGACCTCACGTTTAGAAGGGCACGCTGAAGGCCGCCTTTGGCCGGCCTGCAAGTCAGACAGTTGGCACCCAGGAGACGTGCCCTCCACGCGGGCTGCTGAGGCTCCAGCCCCAGGCTGGAACAGGATGTACGCGGTGACCAGCTCATCAGGGGAGTTTATAGAGGGGAAACTGAGGCTAGAATGTGTGGCATACACAGTCACCAGCAGGTCTTTCTCGATGAAGGACACGAAGCTTTGTCACTTTATGATGGCGAATGTGACAGGCCTGGGTCTTGACCCAGAATGCACCAATCACAGATCACCTGACACTGCTCTACTTATGCACCTGTCTCCCAAAATAGAACTGGGCCACGTGGTGGCTCACTCCTCTAATCCCAGCACTTTGGGAGGCTGAGGCAGGTGGATCACTTGAGGCCAGAAGTTCAAGACCAGCCTGGCCATAGTGAAACCACAACTCTACTAAAAATAGAACAATTAGCAGGGTGTGGTGGCATGTGCCAATAGTCCAGCTACTCTGGAGGCTGAGGTGGAAGAATCACTTGAACCTGGGAGGTGGAGGTTGCAGTGAGCTGAGATGGCACCACTGTACTCCAGCCTGGGTGACAAGAGTGAGACTTCTGTCTCAGAAAAAAACAAAAAATATTCCTGAAATTCATATCTTTTCACGTTCGTATCTTCAGAATCTCACAATATATACTCTGTGGGCACTTAAAATTATTATGAAAATGCCAGGTGTGATGGCTCACACCTGTAATCCCAGCAAGTTAGGAGGCTGAGGTGGGAGGATCACTTGTGCCCCCAAGTTCGAGACTAGCCTGGGCTGCATAGTGAGACCCTCATCTCTTAAAAAAAAAAAAAAAAAAAATGAAAAATAAAAAATTAGCCAGGCATGGTGACTGCTTGGGAGGCTGAGGTGGGAGATCACTGAAGCCCAGGAATTGGAGGCTGCTGTGAGCCATGACTATGCCATTGCACTCTAGCCTGGGTGACAGAGCAAGTTCCTGTTTCAAAAAAAATTGTTATGAAAATATCATGTTAGAGACTGATGGAGAGGTGTAGCTGATTTTTCAGAGTGTTTTCCTTGGCATGACTATGTGATCTCACATTTTAAAAGTATCAGCTGCTTCTAATGACTTTTAGAACTAGATTTCAAAGCAGAAGTACACTAAAAATGGGAAATTCACATTACTTCTCTTTGAAGAGATGGCTACAAACCAAGTTCCGTATTTACATGGAATTCGTATCCACAGTATGTGAAGTTCAGTGTAATACACAGCCTTGCTTAAAATACATATATGCATATACATGGTCACACACTTTATTTCTAGTGGCTCAAGACAAATGACAGTATTTTATCATTACCACAGCAAAAATACTTTTTTCCTCATCCCTTCCAATCCAACCCCTTGGCCACATGTGTTTCTAGTATCTTTTCCAATCAGGGGGAAAAAACTGGAAGATATTTCTCTCTGCTCATTTCCCTCCAGTTCAGGGATCCCCAACACCCCCCTGGTACTGGTCTGTGGCCTGTTAGGAACCGTAAGCGGTGAGTGAGTGAAGCGTCATTTGTGTTCACAGCCACTACCCACGGCTCCCATTACCGAGCTCCACCTCCTGTCACGTCAACAGGGATATTAGATTCTCTTTCTTTTTTTGAGACAGGGTCTTGCTCTGCCACCCAGGCTGGAGTGCAGTGGTGCGATCTTGGCTCACGGCAGCCTCGGGGGGGTTCAAGAGATTCTGGTGCCTCTCCCTGTGGAGCAGCTGGGACTATAGGTATGCACCACCAGGACCAGTTACTTTTCACTGTGTTGGCCAGGCTGGTCTTGAACTCTTGGCCTCAAGTGATCCATGACGCCCAGCCTGTAAAATAATTACCTGGAAGCCATTTCTAATTTTCTTTCTTTCTGTGCATGTGTACATTGTGTATGAAAATGTAAACTCCGGGCCGGGCACGGTGGCTCGCGCCTATAATCCCAGCCCTTTGGGAGGCTGAGGCGGGTGGATCACCTGAAGTCAGGTGTTCAAGACCAGCCTGGCCAAAATGGCGAAACCGTGTGTCTACTAAAAGTACAAAACTTAGCCGGGTGTGGTGGCAGGCGCTTGTAGTTCTAGCTACCAGGAAGCTGAGGCAAAAGAATTGTTTGAACCCAGGAGATGGAGGTGAGCTGAGATTGTGCCACTGCACTCTAGTCTGGGCAACAAGAGTGAGACTCCATCTCAAAAAAGAAAAGAAAAAAACAAAAAAAGGAAACTGTAAACTCCGCTTCTGGGCCCAGTTCGTTTCCTTCTTTATTCTAGTCCCTCTGGCATTTCCCTTTGCTGGACAATGAAACTGCCGAGGATGCTTTTCCCCTAAAAAAATCTGGGAAGACTCAACAGCTTCTACTGGCAAACACAGGAGATCACAAAAAGAAGTATCTCTGTGCCCCACAGACACCGGCAAACCATGTCCCAGGCCTGGCCTGTGCTTCCCCCTCACCTGCTGCCTGGGTCCCCTCTGGAAGGCCCTCGGCTTCCCTGGCGCCAGGTACCAACTGCACTAAGTCGATGACATCTTCAGGCTCGGAGGGACTGGAGGTGCTCTCTTCCAGAGACGGGGAGCAGACGCAGCATGCTCCCCCATCACACAGCACTGGCTCCTCAAAGTCCTCGTCCAGGGAGTCGATCGTCTCCTCAAAAAACAGAAGGACATCCTTTTCCTCATGGGTGAGGTACTTCAGGCTCTCATCATCCTAGAGAACAGGTTTGGGGATTGGGAATGGAAGAAAACAAACAGCAGTTTCATTAAAGTGACAAAAGCCCAGGCAAACTCAGGATCAGTCCATAGCCCTGGGCAGAACTCACTGTCCTGAGTGCCCTGCCATGCTGCCTGTGTGTGCCTCCCCATCACCCTCAGAAAGGCAGAGCCAAGCAGAGCCTCAAAGCTTTGTAACAAGCCCTCACCTTGGGGTTCCTAGCAAGTCAATGACAAAAAGGGCCTGTTGGGGAATGCACTGGCAAGCTGCTGTCAGCCTACTGCTATCTGGCACACTTGTTTTTCCATAATCACAGGAAACCTCTGCTTAAAGACAGTGGATTGAACTCACATTTATCTCTTCTCTCTCCAGAAACCTTACTAAAACAAGGGATTTTTTTTTTTTTTTTTTTTTTTTTTTTTTTGAGGCAGCATCTGACTCCGTTGCCCAGGCCGGAGTGGAGTGGCGTGATCTTGGCTCACTGCAACCTCCACCTCCCAGGTTCAAGGCATTCTGCTTCCTCAGCCCTCCCGAGTGGCTGGGATTATAGGCATGCACCACCATGTCCAATTAAAACAATTAATTTTTTGTATTTCTAGTAGAGATGGGGTTTCACTATGTTGGCCAGGCTGGTCTCGAACTCTTGACCGCAGGTGATCCACCTGCTTTTGCCTCCCAAAGTGCTGGGATTACAGGTGTGAGCGATCATGCCTGGCAAAATAAATGGATTTTTTAAAGGCACAAATCACAACGATAAAATAGCAGGACGAGTGATGACAGAACAAAAGCAGGGCAGCAGGACAGATGGAGACAGAGTGAGAAGGCCCAGGAAAGCCAGAGACCCACCTGCTGCGTCCTGCAGAACCTCCCAGAAGCTCAGGCCCTGGAGGTGCTGAGCGGCTCTGGAAGTGTGGGCAAGGTGAAGAGAGCCCAACTGTTTGAAAGTCTCTTTCAGAAGCAATAAGCTCATCCTGGCACAAAACTAGCCACTTACTCTCAAAGGTGACAGAGGAACCCTGAAGAGGGGCCACAGAGCAAAGCTGACGGTGGAGTGCTATGTTAACAAGGTAGGCTACCAGTGTAGATGAGGACGTGTTAACAGTGTGGCCGTCAGTGCAGCCAAGTGGCCACCCTCCAGACAGAAGACTGTACGTGTCATCTCCGGGGAACTGAAGGATCCAAAGGCCAAGAAAACTGATCCCAAGGGTCCCCCAGCAAGATTAGTCACAGGGAAAGATGACGGTCAATGAGTCCCAGCGTAGACCTGTGCAGCAGTTTCTTACTGTCCGACTCTGGAGTAGGTGCAGATAGCTAACAACCACGGAGCGGCTGAGGAAAACAGTTATGTGAAAGAGCTATCAAAACAAAGGACAAAAATGCAACTTACAGGAAATGAACTATTGAAAACTTCAAAAAGGTGCATCATCAGTTGTCAGGTAAGAGATTCTGAATCTATAAACAGCATGTTGTTTTCTTTACAAGATAAAAGACTATTAGAAACAAAAAAAAATTAACAGCAGAAAAAAGTGAAAAAATAAAAGCTTAAAAGATAAAGTTGTGAAATCAGAAAACTATGAAAAAAAAAGGGCAAGAAAGTTGGAGGATAGATCTGGGAGGGCCACTTTGTGAATAATGGGAGTTCCAGAAAGAGAAATCAGAGATAATGAGAGGAAGAAATTATCAAAATAAAGTAATTCATGGGAATGCCTCTGAAGAGGAGCACGTTTCCAAATTGAAAGGAGTCATGAATGTACAACCTAATGAAGAAAAAGCAAACAGACCCATGCCACGGTATGCATTGTTGTGAAATTTCAGAATACTGAGAGCCAAGAAAAGACCCTGAAAGCTTCCCAGACTTCCCAGAGTGAAAAAGCAGGTCACATACAAAAGACCAGAAATCAGAGGTGAGGCAGGTAGATGACTCAAGCCCAGGAGTTCAAGACCAGGCTGGCCAACACGGTGAAACCCTGTCTCTACTAAAAATACAAAAATTAGCTGGGCATGGTGGCATGCACCTCTAATCCCAGCTACTCAGGAGGCTGAGGCAGGAGAATCACCTGAACTTGGGAGGTGGAGGTTGCAGTGAGCAGAGATTGCACCACTGCACTCCAGCCTGGGTGACAGAGTGAGATTCTGTCTCAAAAAAAGAAAAAGGATCAGAAATCAGACTTTGACAACTGCCTGTGGTTATGTAAGAGAGCATCCTTGTTTTTAAAATGTACTTCAGTATTGAGGGGAGTATTATATAGCAACTACATTCAAATGGTTCAGAAAAAATAAAGCATGCATGTGTGTGTAGATATATATAGAGAGAAAGAGAGCGTGCTAAAATGTGGAAAAAATTTTAAAATTAAAGGGTATGTGGGAGTTCTCCAACTTCATTAAGTTTGAAATAACTTCCAAACAATTTAAACAAACAAAAGTCCAGGGATCAGAAAACAGCAACAGACTTCTCCGCAGCAACACTAGAAGCCGGGGTACAATGAGGGCTCACAACCCGAAAATTCTGAACTAGAATCCGATACGTAATCCGATTATTAATTAGAATTACAGAAGAATAAAGATATGCTTTCTTTTAATACAGATGTTTTTTAGACACATAAGGTCTAACACTCTGATCTCCCATGCCAGCCTTTCTGTGGAGGCCACTGGAGGGTAGTCAGTGCTCCTCTCAACACGGAGTAAACCCGACAGAAGACAGGAGCCAGGTAACAGCAGCGTCCACCCAAGAACGCTGCAGGGAATCCCAGAATAACGGGGGCTCCCCAGGAAGCCAGCTGTGCGGTCAGCAAGTAGACCAGTCCACAGCAAGCCCGGGGGTGACACAGGAAACCACGCAAGCAAATAAAACCGAAACCGTGATCACAGAAAAACCAATGTGAGAGAAAGCATTCATCTATCAATCTGTATACAGCAATATACACACCTTTACCATAACAGAAACAGAGTTGTCTCAGTTTGAAATATGCATACTTAATATATACCCACAGGAAAAAGTACTGAAAGGATATATAGCAGTATGTCAATAGTGGAGGTAAGTAACTGTGGAGAGCTGATGCCTCCAGTTGAGTAGGAAATGGGGGCGGGACATGCATAATGACGCTCTTATAACCCTTGTAGACTATTTGACTCTGTGATGCTATGATGTGGACGCTGCTTCTGCTGTACTTTGGCTGTTTCTGTTTTTTTTTTTGGGGGGGGGGAATGGTGTCACTCCCGTCACCCAGGCTGTTGAGTACAGTGTGGCACGATCTTGGCTCACTGCAGTCTCTGCCCCCAGGGCTCAAGCAATTCTTCTGCCTCAGCCTCTCGAGTAGCAGTGACCAAAGGTGCCCACCTGCCCCTGCTAATATATTTTTTGTCTTATCAAAAGTGATTAAGAGCTGATCCCTGCAGTGTAGACTGATGCTTTCCACACTGATTTGAGAGGTATTCAAATGTCCACATACCCACAGCATGTAACACCCAGGTCCATACGGAGGCTGTGGCCCACACAGTTACAGAGGCTATAGTTGAAGGCATAGTACACTGTTGTTTTGGGGATTAACACAAGAACACATGCAAATTTCTCAAGCTAGCCTGGTCTTATTAGCTTAATCCTGAAAGAAGGACGGCTCAGGAAAAGGAGAGATACCTCGGTGGGTGTTAGGCAGGCAGGCAGAATGGTGCTAGGGAGGATAAGCCACGTGTACCTACCTTTTGGATATAAACCCACGCACAGTCGCTGGTTCTGAAGACGTGTGTCTGCTCAGGCGGGCAGACACGGCTTTCCGAAGTGGTTGTACTGACTGACACTTGCTTTCAACAGGCCTGGTTGTGCTGGTGCCCCCAAGGAGAGGAATGCAGTTACATCTCACTGTGATTTTCCATGTCATTTCCATGAAGACTAATGATGTTGAACATTTTTTCTCCATAATACAGATGAGTACTCCTCATCTGAAGTGCTTCTGGATCTTTTTCAGATTTTGAAATATTTGCATATATATAATGAAATGTTTATGTTTCATATATGCCTTTTGCTGATTTTTTGGAGACTGGGTCTCACCCTGTTGCCCAGGCTGGAGTGGAGTGGTGTAATCACGGCTCACTGCAGCCTAGGTCTCCCAGCTCAAGTGATCGTCCCACCTCAGCCTCCCCAGTAGCTGGGACCTACTGGCACACACTACCATGCCCAGCTAATTTTTATGCATTTTTTTTTTTACAGAGACAAAGTCCCACCATATTGCCCAGGCTGGTCTTGAACTCCTGGGCTCAGGCGATCCTCTGGCCTCGGCTTCCCAAAGTGCTGGTATTGTAGGCATGAGCCACTGTGCCTAGTGTCCAATAGATCTTGGTATCTGGCAGAGTCTCTAGTTTTGGTGGAGTTCTTAAAGTCCTCCTCCTTTAGCCTGTTTAGCTTTTCTTAGCCCTTTTAAATTTCCATATATTTTTTAGTATCAGCTCACCAATTTCCATATTCACATAAGCACACACATAGCCCTGATGTGACTTTAATTGGGATTGCATAAAAGTTTCTCAAACTGGAGAGAACTGATGCCTTTACAGTCTTTTCTCGACCCACGAATACAGCGTGTGGCTTCATTTATTTAGATGGGTGGTTCTTAGAGTGTGATTTTTGACCAAGAAGCAGCATCTGTGAACTTGTTAGACACATTCTTGGGTCCAATCCCAGATCTACTGCATTAGAAACTTGAGGCACGGGGCCTGTCAGTCTGTGTGAGACGCGGCCTCCAGAGTCTGATGTGCTGAAGCGGCAGATGCCCGATGTCTCTTCAATTTCTCTTGCCGATTTCTCACGGTTTCCAGTGCAGACAACTCTCTTGCCCTCTGTCTACTGGGGTATTTGCTGTGGCTCTGCCTATGCTTCTCAGTTAACTTTCCACCATTCTCTCCTTTATCTTCCTCGGGAGGCATGGCCAGCTCTTTGGGAAAGGGCTAGGTGGTAAATATTCTGGGCTGTGCAGGGTTTAGATAGCAGCTATGCAACTCTACCAGGGTAAGGAATGAGCCTCGCTTTCGTTACACTGCACTTTATTTTAAAAAGCAGGGAGTGGGCCATGGGCTGTGATTGTCACTTCCTGGTCCCGGCTCAAGTCCATCATTTGCTCTTCCTACATTGGCTTCTAAGGCAGCGACGCCCGTCTGTGCCCGGCTGCATCTCGCCTACTTTCATGGCTCAATTTCAAACCTCTGCCCACCCCCACAGCATCCCTGAATCACAGCCACACACCTGCATCTGTTAGGCACAAAATCCAGTACCACGGTGTAAATCACGCCCTTGCTGTCTAGAGCTTACTACCCAACGGGGGCTTCAGATAAGAGCACTGGCAACTGCCCTGGATTGTGGAACTCCTATGACAAGGTGACCTGGGTGTGATGGAAGCACAGCAAGCCACACTTCTGGGGAAAGGGGTCTATGCAGGTAAAACTTCCAAGAGGGAAGAACACGTCACCTGATAACCTGGGAGAACTGGATGGGAGTTAAGAAGGAACAAGGCGCAGTGAGCCATGAGCCTTTTGGAATGATCATGTTGGTTATAGTGCAGAAAATATTGAATATGGTAAACATTACTATTTTTTTTTTTTTGAGAAGGCATCTTGCTCTGTTGCCCAGGCTGGAATGCAGTGACACAATCTCGGTTCACTGAAGCCACCTCCTCCCAGGTTCAAGCAATTCTCCCGCCTCAGCCTCCTGAGTAACTGGGACTATAGGTGCCTGCCACCACGACTGGCTAATTTTTGTATTTTTAGTAGAGATGGCATTTCACCACGTTGGCCAAGCTGGTCTCAAACTCCTGACCTCAAGTGATTCACCTGCCTCAGCCTCCCAAAGTCCTGGGATTATAGGCATGAGCCATTGCACCTGGCCTCAACCCAGCTGCATGGCTGCTTCTGTTCTGTCTTTTCCCATCACACACTAACAAGCATTGACGGACCCTTACTTGGATGCCTGCCCAGGCCTCACACATTTCACCCCAGAGTTCCTCCGCTCAGTCTCACCTCAGGGTTCTTTCTTCCTCTGCTTGCTTATTTGTACAAAGTGAGTCAAAAGTCAGTTTTCACCAGGCCAGTGGGTGAGCAGTTTCCCAGGTCCTGGGAGGCTGAGAGTCCCACATCCTCAACCTACCTGAGCCCCTCTCGGGTATGGGGTAGGAGTGGGGTCTACGCACCAAATGTATCCCAGGTGCCTTCTCTGTGGTCAGCCTGGTCTTGTGGCCTGAGTCCCGAGGCAGGCCCAGCCATGCTGTGGGCTCTGTCTGCTGCCTAATCCTGGGGGCACGAAGCTGCATTCTACAGTGAGCCAGAACTGCCTGCTCTGGGAGGGGAAGACACGGGAGGCAGAAGCAGAGAGAGCTGTGGGGAAGGGATCAGGGCCTCAGGGCCAGAGAGGAGGCTTGTGGCCCTCGGCAGGGAGAATCTGTCTACCCCTCCCTTGGGAGACTCCGGATGTGGCCTGTCTCAGAGATGCTCAGAAGAAAAAGATGGCCTAGGGCACAGGTAATGGGGGCGGGGGTGGGGGCAGGGGCAGGGGCACGGGCAGGGACAGAGTGACTGCAGATGGGCCAGGATTTCTTTTCAGGAGGTGAAAACATTCTAAAATTTACTGTGTACTTATACTAAATGCCATTGAATGTACAATTTAAACAGGTGAACTGTATGCTTGTGACTTGTATCCCAGTAAAGCTGTAACAGTAAAAAATACAAAAGCACAAGGCATTGCCTGGTGGCCTGTGGAGGCTCCTGCAGAGCCGGTGCTGCTGGAAGAATCCTTTGCTAGTAACTCAGGTCCCTAAGAACTACACAGATAGGAAATGAGAAGCAGAAACAGCAGCTTTCTTGGGCGAGAGTGAGTTGAAGAAAGCCTAAGTGTGTCCCTATTGGGAAGGCAGAAGAAGGCTGATGGCAGAAAAGAAAATTCCCTTCTCACAAATTCTATTTTTTTTGAGACAGAGTCTCACTCTGCCACCCAGGCTGGAGTACAGTGGTGTGATCTTGGCTCACTGCAACCTCTGCCTCCTCGTTCACACGATTCTCCCACCTCAGCCTCCCATGTAGCTGGGATTACAAGCATGCGCCAGCAAGCTTGGCTATTTTTTTTTTTTTTTTTTTTTTTGGTATTTTTAGCAGAGATGGGGTTTCACCATGTTGACCAAGCTGGTCTCAAACTCCTGACCTCAAATGATCTGCCCGCCTCAGCCTCCCAAAGTACTGGGATTACAGGCATGAGCCACCACACTTGGCCAAAATGATGTTTTTAATGTACCAGTTTGGGATTGTGGAGTAAACAGCAGTTCTTTAAGGATACAAATCTTCAGATGTTAAAAGAACAAGCTAGAAAACCATCCCTCACGTATTATGCCGACTTCAAGAAATGACAAGCCTCTGAAGGAAATACTGCTTTGCTTCCAGAACATGAGCAACGTATTTCTACCCTCATAGGTATGTTAGGATTTTGAAGAGATAATCTCTAGTGGTTTCAAACCCGAAAGTTAAAATGTTGCACATACAAAGGTAATGACAGTGCACGGGATCCAGCCCCCATTACGAGAACAAAGTCCCAGGCTAGCCGATCTCTGTAGACTCCTGCAGAGATGACAGAAAAAAGGTCCGTCCAACTCCATTCAAGCTCTGAGGGGAGCAGCCCCATCAAAAGCTAGATGATGACTTTTTCTAAAAAGCTAGCAACAGGCACAAAAGTCAACAGTCCTAGCTATTCCTATGACAGCACAGATTTGGGACAGGAGTTTTGTCTGTAGGGAAACAGTGGAAGAAAACCTTTGTTTGGCTGAACAAAAGTGCTGAGAAGGCTTAAAATATGCATACTGAAGTAACCCTATCTAAAAAACTGCTGAATTGGCTGGGTGTGGTGGTTCATGCCTGTAATCCCAGTACTTTGAGAGGCTGAATTCCTTGAGGCCAGGAGTTCGAGACCAGCCTGGCCAACATGTTAAAACCCCATCTCTACTAAAAATACAAAAATTAGCCAGGCATGGTGGTGTGCCTGTAACTCCAGCTATTTGGAAGGCTGAGGCAGGAGAACTGCTTGAACCCGGGAGATGGAGGTTGCAGTGAGCCGAGATCATGCCATTGCACTCCAGGTCTGGGTGACAGAGCAAGACACTGTCTTGGCAAAAAAAAAAAAAGAAAGAAAGAAATTTAATTGCAGACTAAGACAACTGTGGCAGCTCCTTGTGAAGGATTTTTTAAAATGAAGCAACAGAACTCATCCTAGTCCAGACCAAAAAAAAAAAAAAAAAAATCACAAAAAAGCTGTGGTGGCTAAGAAAATGTCTGGAGATGAGCCAGCATCTCTGAACCGCCCCCCCACCCCCTGCGTCCGTGGTTGGCAGCCTGGGCTAGCTGGTATTCAGGTATTGGGCAAGTGTCATCTGATGCCTTCTTACCCACACCACAGTTAGCTCTCTGACACTTGACCAGTGCCTTATTGATTTAATAATCCCAGCTGCTGAGAGAGCCGCTCAGAGCTAAACAGAACAGGGGCGGAGAGAAGCAAACGCAGGCAGCCCCTTCCTGCACAGCTCTGAGGGTCGCGCCCACTTTGGCAGCCTCAGACGAGAGACTGTAAATGCAGGTGGGGCATCCCACGGTTTTGGGACAAAGGTTTTAATATTATTACTATTTTTAGATGGAGTCTCCCTCTGTGGCCCAGGCTGGAGTGTAGTGGTTTGATCTTGGCTTACTGCACTCTCTGCCTCCTGGGTTCAAGTGATCCTCCTGCCTTAGCCTCCGGAGCGGCTGGGATCACAGGCACGTGCCACCACACCTGGCTAATTTTGTAGTTTTAGTAGAGATAAGGTTTCACCATGTTGACCAGGCTGGTCTCTTGACCTCAGGTGATCTGCCTGCCATGGCCTTCCAAAGTGCTGGGATTACAGGTGTGAACCACTGCACCTGGCCAATTACGGTTATTTCTAAACACTATTGTCATGTTTAATGATGGCTCACTTAAACCTGTGCTTCTGGCAGGAAAGAGACACGAACCCATGAAGAATGAGATGCCTGTACAGTTTGGATTACAGAACCAAAGAAGAATGGCTTCAGAAGATGACAGCTGGGCTCCCGGCTGCCTTAAATGTCTTTAAACTGGTAATACCGATCTTGCTCTCCTCTCTCTCTCTTATAGGAGATCTTGATTGAGACAGAGATACCCCGAGCGTGCAGCATTCGCGGTGCTCCGAGACCCTCATGAGCTTGGGTCCTCCATGGCGGTCTCGCCACTATACTGTGAGTTCTAGAAGGAGGCAAACTGAGTCTTATCCCATCATCTCTCAGTTCTTACATGCAGTAGACATTTACGAGATGTTGACTGAACTGGCCTTTTAGAAAAGCTTCTGAGCTATGTTTTAAAGCAGCTGTTCGACCAGGATTGTTTGGATTCCAGCCAGGTGAGAAGCCAGGATGAAGGGCAGGGTTATTACTGACTGAGCGGCTTCTCCCTCCTGGCTCCTCTGGTTCGGTTTCCACAACTGAAGTCACGGAGCAAACAGCACATCACTCCTCAGACTTTGCTCCGGCCCGGCCACATGGGAAGTCCCCAGTGCTTGCCGCACCTTTTCATCCCAGGAGCCATGTGTGTCAAATGCTCTTGGGGGACCAAAGGCTCAGGAGCTGCTGGCTGCTGCCTGGTCACAGACTGCTGTGTCACTTCAGGGCCACAGCCCATGTGGCTGTGGGCAGAGGGCATTCAAGATAGTTCCTCAAATATTAAATCCTAAAAACTCGCTCACAAATGGGCATCATTGTTTTTGCCCAAACCAGAGGTAAAAATGAAAAAGCGGTAGGCTTGGGATGTCCCCAGCCACCCTCACAAAAGCAGCCATAGGCTTCGAGCTCAGCTCCCTGGGAGTAGTGCGGATGGAGAGCTCCCCACCCTTTCAAAGCAGCCAGATCTTATCTTTTCTAGAGGAAGCTTCAGGGTATGTGAAGGCAGACCCGACTTCAGGATTCAGAGCCAGAGCCTGTGAACACCAGCGTGAGTGCACCCAGGGGGTTTGAGAGATGGCATGAGCCCTGGAGATGCTGGCCTTAGAGGCTGACGTCGGTCACCAAACACCCAGAGCCGCCTGTAGCAGCCATAGAGAGCTGGCACCTATGGAGTCTCCAGCCCTTCTTGGGCCTTTTATTTAGCGCCTGCATCGCCTCTCGAAGTGGCAGACTCCACAAGCACCGGCGTCAGGAAGTACCGCCTTGCACACATCAAAGCTGCCCTCTTATGTTTCATAGGAAAAGACAGAATTCAAGGGACACCTTCTCAGCCACATATTGTGGGATTTGCACAACTAATTCTAGTGCTACCTATACCTTTCATTAAAAAATGTTCACAGGCGGGACTCTTTACTAAAAAATTCACAGGCCCAACTAGCCTCTTGAGAAATAAAGACATGCTCACTGCCCTCTTAGAGCAGCCTCAGGCATAACTGCGGCCACACAGATAGCCACGACAATCCTATGTAAGTGGCTGTTTAAAAAAATATTTGAGATCATCTTCTAGAATTTACTTATTTTGTGTGGAAATAGGGGTCTTGCTAGGTTGCCCAGGCTGGCCTTTAGCACTTGGGCTGAAGTGATCCTTATGCCTCGAGCCTCCCAAGCAGCTAGGACTACAGGTGTGTGTCACCAAACCTGGCCACTTTAAAAATTTTTAACCTGCACTGACTCAGGAGAAAAGTTTCGAAAGCGCAAAGATCTGTTATATCCCAGGTGACAAATGCAAGTAGCACTTCAAACTTTAGGGTACTTGTAATTAAAATCAGGCGATCTTTTTTTTTTTTTTTTTTTTTTTTGAGATGGAGTTTCACTTTTGTTGCCCAGGCTGGAGTGCAATGGTACGATCTTGGCTCACTGCAACCTCTGCCTCCCGGGTTCAAGTGATTCTCCTGCCTCAGCCTCCCAAGTGGCTGGGATTACAGGCACGTGCCACTACGCCCAGCTAATTTTCTATTTTTAGTAGAGATGGGGTTTCTCCATGTTGGTCAGGCTGGTCTCAAACTCCTAACCTCAGGAGATCACCTGCCTTGGCCTCCCAAAGTGCTGGGGTTACAGGTGTGAGCCCCCACACCCGGCTCATCTTTTAGGAATAATGTTTGCTTAAAACAAAAAACTATAAATCAGAACTAGGTTTTCTCTCTTTCTCAAGAAACTCACAGTCTAACTAGGTTATGTTTTACGTACAGAGCCCTCTAAAGAGGGGCATTTACTGAAGTACAATTTAGAGGCCTAAAAACACTGCTGACTTACTCATCTTTCATGACCTCAGGAATTAAAGGACACCACTTAATTGAAGAAACCGCTATGGTTGATTTTTGTTCTAAAGGGAACGAAATTTAAAAAGGATCTGATGAGTTAGAATAAAACTTACAGCTTCTCTCAGAATTTACACTTCCAAAAAGGTAGAGCATGACATTTAAATATGCTCTAATGCTGTGAGAGGGACTGGCTGCTAAGTGCCTGTGTGAAAATCATGTGACTATTTACAAAACTTTAGTAGGATAAATACAAAAATTAGTAGGGCATGGTGGCACACCCCTGTAATCTTAGCTACTCAGGAAGCTGAGGCAGGATAATTGCTTGAACCAGGGAGGCAGAGGTTGCAAAAGAAAAAAACAACTTGAGCAGACTGGGTGTGGCGGCTCAAGCCGACTGTCCCAGCACTTTGGAAGGCTGAGGCAGGAGGGTTGCTTGAGGCCAGGAGTTCTAAATTAGCCTGTTCAACATAGCAAGACCTCATCTCTACAAAAAAATGTAAACAATTAGCCAGGTGTGGCGCTGCACCCCTGCCATCCCAGCTACTTAGGAGGTTGAGATAGGGGAATCACTTGAGCTTAGGAGGCCATGGCTGCAGTGAGCTATGATTGTGCCACTGCACTCCAGCCTGGGTGACCAAACAGAAACCACAAAAACCCACTTTAGTTGTCATGTAAGGTTAAATGCCACACACACACACACACACACACACACACACACATATACACACACACATACATACATACACATATATATTTTTGAGACAGAGTTTCCCTCCATCTCAGCTCACCATAACTTCTGCCTGCCAGGTTCAGGTGGTTCTCCTGCCTCAGCCTCCCAAGTAGCTGGGATTACAGGCATGTGCCACCACAGCCAGCTAATTTTGTTTTAGCCAGGTGTAGAGATGGGCTTTCTCCATGTTGGCCAGGCTGGTCTCAAACTCCTGACCTCAGGTGATCCACCTGCCTCGGCCTCCCAAAGTGTGGGGATTATGGGCACGAGTCACTGCGCCAGGCCCTCATTTTGCTAGTTCTAAGGAAAATGCACAACTGTGAAATAAGATGACAAGTAAACTTGGCTCAGTAACTGTCCCTGGAGGGAAATGCCTGCAAACAGTGAGCAGGCCTGAGTGGAAGGCAAGAAAACACGACCAGAACACTCCACCAGCATCCTGTAATAAGACAGTACATGCAGCAGGATTCTGTGACCCCACACACACACCATGCAGATGTAACTTGATTAGGGGTGTCCTGTGAGTGGCTTTACAATGCTGTTTCCATGATTCTACCCTATGATACACAGGGACAGGCCCGGTGGGGAGCAGACAGAGGCATCACATACACCACAGGAGTGCTACTGGATGCTTTACCCAATAGGAAAGAACTGGGTAGAATAGGAATCCTTCAATTTAAAATCAAACTCATGCCCATGAGACTGGCAGAATCAAGAAATGTGTGGAATACGGAGGAGGAAGGCATGTTTCCCTTTCACCACCTCATCTTTGCATCAAAGGAAAAGTAATTTAAAAGTCTACGGATAAGAGACGGAGACAGGAGGAGGAGCAAGGATCCAGACAAGATGGTGGCGGCAGGATGATGGGAATGACGCCGCACCTGGACACTAACAGACACCAGGGAAGGAGAAGCCGGCGCCGGCACTGCCTGGGGGTGGGCGCTGCTGGGTATTTCTTTGAGACAGAGTCTTGCTTTATCGCCCAGGCTGGAGTGTAGTGGCATGATCTCAGCTCACTGCAACCTCTGCCTCCTGGTTCAACTGATTCTCCTGCCTCAGCCTCCCGAGTAGGAAACCTGACTTTCCTGTTAGCCCGCACATTCCGCGATGGACGGACCCAGGTTTCCTGTTAGCCTGCACATTCTACAGTGGACCTGAGCATGCCGTTCGCCCGCATATTCTGTGAAGGGTTGTATTTCTACAGCTGTTGTCTAAGCTCCCCGAATTCACTTTACAAGCTTGCTTCTTCTAAGAAGACCCTCGGAAGAAACCTCTTTGCATTTTCTCCTGGCCTCATGTGGTAGCTGGTGTGATGCACCAGCCAGGTCACCAGCCAGGAGGAAGGACCTCGTTCCTGTCTGCTGCAGGCGCAGCTAAAGGTGGCCCTCAGTGGTCAGTGGGACTGTCTTGGCTGAAAGAAACTGATTCATCAAGGTTATGCCTCCTTCCTGGGGCAGCCCGCACCTGAGGCTCTTCACCATGAGTGAGGGCGCTGTCCTCGCCCCAGCGTGGTGACTGAAGGCTCTCCCAGCCCCAGAGCTCACTGGGGAGCAGCCAAGGCTTGCGCTGGGCCCACACAGCCCAGCTGCTGCCTGGAACCAAATCTGCAGCAACCTATTCTCTCTGAATGGACCAGTCACGAGAGTGGAAGCTCCAGTCTTACATCCTTAACCCCTGGAGTAATGCTTCAATATTTAAGCCAATGTATAAATCACACACAACATTTTATACATACACCAAAGAGACAGAAGGTTAAATACAGAACAGTTAGCTCTGCTCCTTTGTGGGCACGTCTGCAGGGGTCATGCAGCCCTCGCTGTCTCTGGTGTATGTGCATTTGAGCTAGCACACGGGATTGTTAAGTTGGTTAATATGAGGAATAGACCCAGTATAATTAGAATGGAGATACAAAAGCAACTTTCTCACCCCAGATTCCAAACATGTGACACCCTTAGTATCATGGGCTCCTCCAGGAGAAGAAGAGCAAGTGCTTCATTGGTGCTCTACCAAGAGAGGCCACAGCTCAGAGGCTGTTCCGAGTTCTGCCTCAAGGTCAGCAGGAAAATGAATGTGAAAGGCAAGAAAACCCTTCAAAGACCCTGACTCTGAATTGGCTTTTTGTGCTCACTCAATACCAAGATCGCCTGCTGAGCACTTTCGATTTGATCCAGCACCACGGGTGCGAGGGAGTGTTTCAGACTCTCCTAGAGCAGGTGGCCATGCTGAGTTTTGGAAAAACCCTTCCAGAGCAGGGCTGTGTCCTAACTATGCCTGGGAGCACATACTCCAAAATTACTGGACTATTCATCTGTATGTGTTTCTGCATCTGCCTTAAAAATATGTGTTCAAATACATTCCTTATATTATTTTTAAAAATTAGAAAGTTTCAAACTTGATTCTTCAGTATGTTTAGACTCTCAGACATTCAGAGGGCAATTTGTTACATAATTTTCTTTTGGTGAATCAATTTTTTTTTTTTTTTTTTTTTTTGAGAGTCTCGATCTGTCACCCAGGCTGGAGTGCGATGGCACCATCTCGGCTCACTGCAACCTCTGCCTCCCTGGTTCAAGCGATTCTTTTGTCTCAGCCTCCCAAGTAGCCAGGATTACAGGTGGCCAGGGCATGGATTACCATGCCCTGCTAATTTTTGTATTTTTATTAGAGATGGGGTTTTACTATGTTGGCCAGGCTGGTCTTGAACTCCTGACCTCGTGATCCACACGCCCTGGCCTCCCAAAATGTTGGGATTACAGGCGTGAGCCACCGTGCCCAGCCAATCAAATAATATTTATCACATATTACTATAATGGTCTAAAAAAAGAAAATATGCAAGTGGGGGTCTAGAAAATTCCATCATTACCAGTAACTACCCCATGCCATGTATACCTATCTTCAGCATAACAGGCTAATTTTATGGCTTAGTATATCTGAGGGAAGCTGGTGCTCCCACTGGAAGGAGAGGACCTGAGAGGTGCCCCCGATAGTTCCTATTAAGGCCCGGGGGGCCAATTCTCTCCAGTGTTCCTCTAGGAGTGAGTGTCATGGTCTGCCCGCTCCTGAAAGATGAATGTCCTCACTGGGGAAGGTACAAGATCCTCTTAACTGTGCGAACTCTTTCTGTAAAGTTCCCAAAGCTATGTAAGGGTCTGGACGCTGAGAGAGGAGGACAGAAAAGCATCTGTACTTGCATAGAGTGAGACCCGAGACGGAGCCGTGTTTATCCCATGGGCTCCTCAGCCCTGCTCCTGTCTGGGATAGTTTCTGCCTCGGGCCTGATCCTGCCTGGGCCTAAGCAGCCATGAGTTATTGGCCACAGCAAGGGATGTGCTCCATGGCTATGGGTAGTGCTCTATATTTGTGCAAAATTTAAGATTATTAAAAATAGCCATTTCACAAAGAAGTATGCCAAAACACCAAGCTAGTTGACCCAAAAAGATCTGGTAAGATACTCCTTTAAGGGACAGGGACTGAGGCAAAATCCACCAACCCAGGCACAGGAGAGCATGAAAGAAAAACCATCACTCACCAAAGTGAAGCTTCTGGACCGAGAGCTGCTGCTTCGACTCTCCAAGCTGCCGCCTCTGCTGAAGGCCCGGGGCCTGCAGTTGGGGGACGTGTCCGAGTTCATGTCCGATGAGTCTGATTTCTGGTGGGTTACAGGCATCCCCACAGAGTCCTCAGGGCCCAGCTCGATCACAGGAAGCAAGGCAGGAGCCAGCAGCCCATTCTGCGGCAACAGCTCACTTCTAGAGACACGAATGACAAAAGTCAGTGAGCCTAGACAGTCAGCCTAGATAGTCAAATGCTCGAATCCCTCAAAAGCACAGCTGAGATCCACCTCCACTCTCAGACGTGAGCATTAGGATACAGGGGTCTGGGGAACGCTAAGTCAGCTGGTTTGAGGACGCCGATTGCCACTTCTCCTTTACACTGTTAACCATTCTGAAGACATAAGAATAATTAGGCTGGGTGTGGTGGCTCATGCCTGTAATCCCAGCACTTTGGGAGGCAGAGGCAGGTGGATGACCTGAGGTCAGGAGTTCAACACCAGTCTGACCAACATGGTGAAACCCCGTCTCAAAAAGAAAATAATAATAATTAAAATTTTTTCGGAGATGGAGTCTTGCTACGTTGTCCAGGCTGGCACTATACTCTTGGGCTCCAGCGATCCCCCTGCCCCGGCCTCCTGAGTAGCTGGGATTACAGGCACAAATCACCATGGCCAGCTGGAATGATCTCAAGGGAAGATGGGAAAATTCAAGATTACTCTGGTGCTGGAATCCTGACAGAGTAATGTGACATCTGCACTGAGGGTCTGCACTTCCAAGCTCTTCCACAGTCAGGCTCGCCTGTCTTTTCTGCCTCAGACACCACAAACTGTGGTTCCTTCTCTAGCTCCATTACAGTTCAGACTTGAGGGGAGGTGACAAGAACTAACACGTTACCACTGGGAGCTTGGCTGACATCTCCAAAACCGGAGACTGTGGAAGCCTCATGCTACTGCAGGTTGTTCATAAAAAGTAAAGCGCCCCAAGCTACTACTACGAGGAAGTTCCTGTTTTTACTTCTAGGAGCAAAGACACTGAAACGGTCCCCTGTAAGCCCCTTAATGTCATATGGTCCTCTGACCGCCCCCTACCCCACTTTTTTGCGGAGACAAGGTCTCACTTTGTCACCCAGGCTGGAGTGCAGTGGCAGAATCACAGCTCACTGCAGCCTGACTTCATGGACTCAAGCAGTCCTCCCACCTCAGCCTCCTGAGTAGCTGGGACTACAGGCGTGCACTGCCACACCCAGCTTATTGTTTGTAGAGCCAGGGTTTTGTCATGTTTCCCAGGCTGGTCTTGACCTCCTGAGCTCAAGTGATCTGCCTGCCTTAGCCTCCCCAAAGTGCTGGGATTATAGGCGTGAGCCACCGTGCCTGGGCCTCTGACCCTTTTAGCAGGAAATCTAGCCCAGCCCCTGAACAGTGTGTTAGAGAGTTCAACAAAACCTTCTAGAAGACCAAAGAAGACTCATAGGAATAAGCCTCTTGCTGATTAACAGATACATGACCCTTTGTGGAGAAAGGCCAATCAGCATTGAACACCTTTAGGGGAACCCTGTCACTCAAGACTTCAAGCATTACCATGAAAACCTCCGCTGAGAAACCTAACAAACATCTCTGTCGAACAGATTAAAAAAGAGACACATTTCTGCCCAATCAGTACACATCAAATGGCGATTTAAGAGCAAGGCTAGGAAACCAGAAGATAAGCATATGCATAAAGTTGCCACTATTCCAAATAGTAAAACGAACACAAAGTCGATGGTCCTAGGAGAGCTGGTGGGCTGTGGAGCCAGGAGAGAAAGGCCGCTCCCTTCATCTTCCCGTACATTCCAGTAAGCTCTAGAAAGCCCTCCTTTCCCAGTCCTGCCACCATCTCAGGAGCAAATGGCCACACTTGGGTATACGGAACAGCTCAAGTAACTAGGTCTTTCCGTCATTCACCTGAAAGGGCTGATTTTGCCACGTGTGACTCAGTGCCCATCCCTAGATGAACATCCCAGGGCCGGAGCCCCATCATACAAATGAGCCACGGAGACATCTCCCACGCTCCCCTCCTGCCATTCACAAGTGGCCCACTGCCCAGCCCCGTGGACTCTTCCCTTGGAACGCGAGTTGTATCCACTTCCCTTCGGGTCCCACTCCCAAGTTCAGCACATTTTAGCACGTGCCTGCATTACTGCCACAGCCATTGTCTTCATCTGTTTTGTGCTGCTGTACAAGAAACAAACTTCCCTGCCTCGTGGTTCTGGAGGATGGGAAGTCCACGATCCAGGGTCACATCTGCCGAGGGCCTTCCGGCCGTACCGTGAGACAAGGGAAGTTGTCACCGATGAGAGAGAGCAAGAAAGGAACAAACTCGCTTGTACAGTGAACCCACTCCTGAGATAACATGAATCACCTCCTGTCCCCACCTCTCAACATGGCTGTCCTGGGGATTAAGTTTCCAATACATGAGCTTTGGGGTACACGATCCAAATACAGCCGCCACATGCTGTCCTCTTGCCTTCTCCCTCTTCTCTACACTTCTGCTGGGTTCTCCAGCTGGATTGATCTTGAAACACCACTTTAATGTCACCACGCTCCCCAAGGCAGTCAACTTTAACCCATTCCCAACAGGCTGGAGAATCAGTTTCAGCCACTCGGTCATCACCTGCTTCCATCTGAACCCATCTCCTTTCTAGCCTCAGCACATTCTTTGATGCTTCCTGTTTTCCTGCCTCACCTTGGGCAGATGAATCAGAGGCTTCCCTTCCATAGAGGAGCCCAGCTACGCACTGACGCTTAACTCAGGCAATGGATTAGAAGCTCGTTGGAACTGAGACCCAGACCTACAGAACACATTTATGGGGGTAAAGGCTGGTGTGTGTGTTTTTAGGGAGTTCCGCAAGTGACTCTGCCACATAGCACCAACTCTGAGGGAAGACAGATGTGTAACAATGCTCAGTGCCATTACAGGGACTCCATGAGTGCCCAGGAAGGAGCAGCTCCAGGGAGGTTCAGAGACTTCACAGTAAAGGCGACAACTCTGCCCTAAGAGATAGTTAAGGTTTAAGGGGACAGCTGGTTAAACAAACTCTTTTTTTTCTTTTGAGACGGAGTCCTGCTCTGTTGCCTGGCCTGGAGTGCAATGGCATGATTTTGGCTCACTGTAACCTCCGCCTCCCTGGTTCAAGTGATTCTCCTGCCTCAGCCTCCCTAGCAGCTGGGATTACAGGCACCTGCCACCACACCCGGCTAATTTTTGTATTTTTATTAGAGATGGGGTTTCACCATATTGGCTGGGCTGTTCTCGAACTCCTGACCTCAGGTGATCCACCTGCCTCGGGCTCCCAAAGTGCTGGGATTACAGGTGTGAGCCGCCGCGCCTGACCCGTTAAACAAACTGTTCAAACAGCACTTTAACATCACCACACCTGTGGGCATTCCTAACACAGAAAACAAATCAACAAAGCTGTGGAAATGTAAGCCTGTTTAAAACGGCAAGTGCTCAGGATAAAGCCGGGAACGCAGCTCAAACACAAGATACAACACGGGTTGCCGAAAAGGTAGAGAGAGGTGCAAACGGGATGAGGTCAGCTGGACCCCAGTGAAAGCAGCTTTCAGTTCTGAACTTTGCCCACAGGTGGGGAGAACGAAGGGAGGCTTACACCCCACAGAGGCAGAGGACCACACTACAGTTGAGAAAGACGACTCTGGCCGTGGTCTGAAGGGTGGGCAGAACCAGGAGAAGACTCTGAAAGCAGTGAGGATAACTGAACACCACACACCATTTAAAAAAGAGTAGGTGCTCCTCCATCTCCATGACATTCTGTGAATGGAAAAAAGCAAGGGAAATGCCTGTAATCCCAGCACTTTGGGAGGCTGAGGTGTGTGGATCACTTGAGGTCAGGAGTTGGAGGACATCCTGGCCAACATGGTGAAACCCTGTCTCTAATAAAAATACAAAAAATTAGCTGGGTGTGGTGTCCGGTGTCTGTAGTCCCAGCTATCTGGGAGGCTGAGGCAGGAGAATGGCTTGAACATGGGAGGTGGAGGTTGCAGTGAGCCGAGATCGTGTCACTGTGCTCCAGCCTGGGCGACAGAGCAAGACTCCGTCTCAAAAAAAACCAAACCAAACCAGAATAAGGACTAAAAGCTAGCCACTGACTCCATTAACTAAGCTGACCTTGTGAGGGCGAGTTAGAAATCACTGCAACAGCAATCCCGGAAGCAGATGGTCAGTGGTTTTTGAATTTGGGTTGAAACAAGAACAGAGGCCAGGCGCGGTGGCTCAAGCCTATAATCCCAGCACTTTGGGAGGCCAAGGTGGGCAGATCACCAGGTCAAGAGATCGAGACCATCCTGGCCAACATGGTGAAACCCCATCTCTAAATACAAAAATTAGCTGGGTGTGGTGGCGTGTGCTTGTAGTCCCAGCTACTTGGGAGGCTGAGGCAGGAGAATTGCTTGAACCCGGGAGGTGCAGGTTGCAGTGAGCCGAGATTGTGCCACTGCACTCCAGCCTGGCGCCTGGCAACAGAGCAAGACTGTCTCAAAAAAAAAAAAAGAGAGAAAGAAAAAAGTAACAGAAAAGAAAGAGGCAATAGCTGTAGAGGAAAATGGGGTTTAAGAAAGGCATTTTGGAGTCTTTTTTGTTTTTTAAAAATAGGAGACACTTGAGCCTAGTCATGAGCTATGGGGAAAAGCAGAGAAGATAAAACTCTGGAAAGACTGGGAGTGGTGGCCCATGCCTGTAACCCCAGCGCTTGGGAGGCCTAGGTGGGAGGACTGCTTCAGGCCAGGAGTTTGAGATCAGCCTGGGCAACATAGAGACACTCCCCTACTCCACCCCAACTCTACCAAAAATAGCAAAATTAGCCAGGTGTGGTGGTGTGTGCCTGTAGTCTTGTGAGGTGTGTGAACGGCTTGAGCCCAGGAATCTGAGGCTGCAGTGAGCCATGATCGCACAACTGCACTCCAGCCTGTGTGACAGAGCTAGCCATGTCTACAAAACAGAACAAAACAACATCCTAGAGGGAAAAGTTCCTCTCTGGCCGCCCTGTTGAAAGCTGTTTCAGTGCCGGATGATATACAAAACACCTGCAACTCCCCTGCTTCCAGGGACAGGCAGGAGGAAATGCCATCAGCCTAAAAAATAACCAGTCATGAAAAACAACCAAACAGAACTTAAGAAGAAAAAAGTAATAATAAGTTAAAAACTCGACAGATGAGGTAAACAGAAGATCAAATATAGCTAGAGACAGAATGAAGGAAAGGAAAGTGACCTGAACAAACCTGTCATTTGTCTAGAATGTAGCAGAGAGAGAGGTGAAAACTAAGGAGAGGCCAAGAGGCCCAGCACAGATGGAGTCTAAGGCTTGTGTTTAACTGGAGTTTCCCAGAGGGGAGGACAGCTGAGGTGGCAGAAGTCATGTTCAAGGCCAGGCGCAGTGGCTCATGCCTGTAATCCCAGCACTTTGGGAGGCCGAAGCAGATGAATCACTTGAGGTCAGGAGTTCGAGACCAGCCTGGCCAACATGGTAAAACGCTGTCTCTACTAAAAATACAAAAATTAGCCAGACGTGGTGAGGCACGCCTGTAATTCCAGCTACTTGGGAGGCAGAGGCAGGAGGATTGCTGGAACCTGGGAGGCGGAGGTTGCGGTGAGCCGAGAATGCGCCACTGCACTCCAAGCCTGGGAGACAGAGGGAGACTCTGTCTCCAAAATGAATAATAAAATAAATAAATAATACAAGTAATGTTTAAGGAGACAATGGCTGAGTGTGTTTCCCAATATATGTATACAAATACATTTGTATTTATGTGTGTTTCTGTCTTTTTCAACCTGTCTTGGTTTCAGATGAAACAGAACTTTTAGAAATTTGCATTTTCTATGCTATTTTGCCATTGTTCTTTTTTTTTTTTGAGACGGAGTTTCACTCTTGTTACCCAGGCTGGAGTGCAATGGCGCGATCTCGGCTCACCGCAGCCTCCGCCTCCTGGGTTCAAGCAATTCTCCTGCCTCAGCCTCCCGAGTAGCTGGACAACAGGCACATGCCACCATGCCCAGCTAATTTTTGTATTTGTAGTAGAGACGGGGTTTCACCATGTTGACCAAGATGGTCTTGATCTCTTGACCTTGTGATCCACCTGCCTCGGCCTCCCAAAGTGCTGGGATTACAGGCATGAGCCACTGAGCCCAGCTGAAAGAATATTTTTATAGGCCAGGTGCGGTGGCTCATGCCTGTAATCCCAGCACTTCGGGAGGATCACCTGAGGTCAGGAGTTGGAAACCAGCCCGGCCAACATGGTGAAACCCCATCTCTATGAAAAATAAAAAAAATAAGCCAGGCATGGTGGCACACGCCTGTAGTCCCAGCTACTCAAGAGGCTGAGGCAGGAGAATCGCTTGAATTCGGGAGGTGGATATTGCAGTGAGCAGAGATTGTGGCCACTGCACTCCAGCCTGGGTAACAAAGCTAGTCCTTGTCTCAATAATAAATAAATAAATAAATTAGATAAAAATAAAAGACAGGAAACACCATACTTATCAGAAAATATTAAAAACCATTCCTGTTTTCACCACTGCTATTCCATATTGTAGGTCTTTTTTTTTTTTAATTTAAAAAAAATTTTTAATTTTGAGATAAAAGTCTCACTCTGTCACCCA